GGCACCGCCCCGCGCGTCACGGTGCGGCGGGCGCCGGTTGGCTGCGAGCGGCGCGAGCGTTGCGTCAGGCGCAGAGCCTTAAAAGGGGCGCGGGCGGCGGCGGCGCGGCCGGAGCGGAGCAGCGCGGGGACGATGTGGACGAGGATGAGTCGGGGGCAGCGCTCGGGCCGGGGCCACGGGGAGCTAGGGCCGCCCAGGAAGGTGCGGGGGGGGAAGGGGAAGGAGAAGGAGAAGGAGGGGGACGCCGCCACCGGGGGCTGCCGGGGGAGGAGGGACGTCGGGCGGCGCTGGGAGGATGAGGATGGCGAGGAGCCGCAGCCGGGGGTGTCTCCGTCTCGCCCGGTGCCGGGGGTCGCCGGGGGTGCCCGCGGGCAGCGCGGGGCAGACGGGGCGCTGCGGCCGGTCGGGAGCGGGCTGGGGGCCCTGAACCCCTCGGGGGAAGGGGTGTGGGGCAGAATCTGACCCTGCCCCTCTTCTCCCCTCCAGGCATCTCGGAGAAAGTGCGTCCTCGTCGGCCTCGTCGGCACCTGAGAGCCGGTAACGGGGGAGGGGAGGGGGGTGTAGCCCTGGGGCTGCCGGGGACCAGCCCCCCACGGGGAGCGACGCCCCGGAGGCGGGGTCCCGGGTTCGCTCACCCCCTCCTCCCCGCAGCCCGGTGCTGGCCTGGAGGTAACAATGGCAGCCGAGGGGCTGCCCGCGGGGACTCCCTGCGGCTGGGAGCTGGAGGGCTGGTACCAGGACCTGCAGGAGGTGCTGGCTGCGGAGCCCGGCGGGCCCTCCCTGCCCTGGGGGGCGGAGCAGGTGAGTGGATGGGCTGTGACACCCCAGCTGGAGGGGGGGGACAGGCCAGGGTCACCCATGGCCTGGGGCTGGCTCCCCCTCTTCCCCTGCAGGCAGAGGTGGCCCCGCTGTGGGGCACAGAGGGGTCTGGCGGTGGCCCGGAGGGCTGTGAGCTGGCCGCTGCCCTGGCTGCGGAGCTGCTGGGCCCAGAGAGCGCAGCGGGCACGGAGCCGGCGGGACCCAGACCCCCGGGCTCAGCCTCCAGCAGCAGCCCCCCGGCCCGGGCGGGCGCGGAGGAGGATGAAGCAGCTGCGGGGCGTGGGGTGAAGAGGAAGAGGTGCAGCGGCGCGGGCGCCAGCAGGGAGCTGGCCAAGCACCGGGAGCGGGCCAACGAGCAGCGGGTGCTGGAGCTGACAGCCCGTAACGAGCAGCTGCGGGAGGAGATCCAGCGGCTCAGCGCGGAGGTGGAGCGCACGCGGGCGGCCCTCATCGACCACATCGTCAACCTCCGGCGCAATTAGCACCACGGCAGCCCCTGCGGACCTGGGGGGTGGCCATGAACTGGAGGGGCAGTGCCTCGCTGGCACAGACTGATGCTGTGGGGATGGCACTGCTTCTGTACACCATTGTATAGTTTTTTTTGCATTTTATTACATGCATGTAACCACCATCAGAGCCCAGTCTAGTAGCTCTCCACAGCACAGGAACCTGGTGCTACTTCTTCCGCTTCCCCTTGGGTACAGGGACTTCGGGGCTTTTGCCCTCAGCTATTGCCAGCTGCTTCTTCAGCTCCAGCAGCTTGGCTACTTCTGCGTCGATCTGGGCTTTCTCTGCCTTGTTGGCCTTCAGTTGCCGCACATGGTTGCCCTGGGGCAGGTGGGAGGGGTGTGATAAGGGTTTGGTGGGGCTAAGATAGGGCCAGCCCCCCCGTCATCGCCACTCACCTGCTTGGCCACCTCCTCTGTCAGCTCCTGGATCAGTTGGGAATCACCTGGAGTCACGGGCACGGCTGGGGCTGGAGAGGGCTGTTTGGCCTGTGGAAGGACAGAAATAGGTGTGAGCCTGGGTGGCAGAGCTACACACACACACACCCCCGTGCTGGAGAGAGGCGGTTACTGCAGCACCCCAGGTCTTCAGGCTGGGAAAGGAAAGATAGCAAGTGAGGAGGAACAGAAAGCAGAGGAGGGGGCTGGGAGGTGCCCAAGGTGGAGGAGCTGCAGGGGCACCGAAGCCCCTACTCACCTGCCCTCCCCCAAAGCGCTTACGCAGAGCTTCGACCTGGTCATTCTCCAGCTTCTGGAAAAGGGGGCTCACCTGCAGCCGGGAGGAAGAGGAGTCACCTCTGCAGGGCCAGCACCCCCCATCCCACCCACGTGCTGCCTGGGGGTGCACAAACCCCATTATCCCCCCACCACCTACAGTGCCCACGCGATGGCCGGGGGGCAGGGTGCAGGTGAAGTCATGGCTCAGGACACAGCAGTCGGGGGGGATGCAGAGCTGCCTCTGGATGGCTGAGCTGACGCTGGGCATGTAGGGCTGTATGAGGACAGCCAGCAGGGAAGCCATGTTCACCGCCACACCAGTCACTGTGCCTGCACGCTGTCTGCAGGGTAGGAAACCCTCTATTAATGCCAGCTCTTGCCCCTCGCCCTTCCCCCCCCATCTCTCCCTACCTGTCCTTTTCATCCCCTTTGATCCGTTTCCAGGGCTCGTTCACCTGGATGTACTGGTTGCCATGGCGAGAGATGGTCAGGATACACCTCAGGGCATCGCGGATGCTGGAGGGGGAGCAGAAGGGGGCTTAGCACCTGATGTGGGGTAGGTCTCTGCCCTCTCATCCTCATGACAGTTGGGCCCTGCTCTACCCACCGGACTTTCTCCAGCAGCTGGTGGTACTGGTGCAGCTCCACAGTGACACGGGCCAAGAGCCGCTTGTCATCCAGTGTCAGGACCATGTCGGGGACAGTGCCACTAAAGAACTTGCACACAAACATGCCAGCTCTGGAGACAAAGGCAGAGCAGGTGTGAGCAAAGCCTCAGGACAGAGAGGAGCCCCTGCCCCTGCTGGGATGTTCCAGAACCTGTTGATGAAGTTGCCCAGGTTGTTCAGCAGCTCTGAGTTGTTCTTGAGCATGAGGTCGCTCCAGGAGAAGGCACTGTCCTGCCCTTCAGGCCGCAGGTACAGCAGGTAGAAGCGCCAGATGTCCGCAGGGATGCCGGTGTCTTTGGCCATGTCCCCAAACACTCCTACACCTCGGCTCTTGGAAAACTTCCCATCCTCATAGTTCAGGTACTCTGGGGAGGGCAGGAGAGACCCCCCAGCGTGGGGCCCAAGCATGGGTCCAGCCCTCCCCCAGGCAGGGAGCAGCCCCAAAACACAGGGGGACGCTGTCAGAACGCTCATAGGCTCGTGCCGAGCTCAGAGGGGGTTCCAAGGGGAGCAGATGCAGTTTTGTGCCATTATACAACAAACTAAACTGTTCCCACTACTGAAGGGAAGTGGGGGTATGAAGACACTCCCCCCGGTACCTGTAGCAATGAGGTGGTTCACCAGGGTGTAGTTGTCCTCAGCGCCCAGAAGCGAGCAGGGGAATATGACACTGTGGAAGGGGACGTTGTCCTTGGCCATGAAGTTGTAGAGCTCAACCTGACGGGCAGCAGGGGGAGGAGGTGGGGGGAACATCAGCAGATACAAGCATCCAGCTCTGTCCCCACCTTCACCCTGCAGCAGCACCAGGCTCTTACCTGCTGTGGGTTCTTCCACCACCTCTCCCACTGGTCGGTGTAATTGGCCGTAATTGACAAATAGCCAATGGGCGCATCAAACCACACATAAAAAACCTGGGAGGAGAGCGATAGGTGAGCAGGGGACCCACAGACAGGGAGGGGTGCCTAAGGACAGATGCTGCAACCGGGGGGCCGGACGGGACCCACCTTGTCACGAAAGCCATCCAGGGGCACAGGGGTGCCCCACTTGAGGTCGCGGGTGATGCAGCGAGGTTTGAGCCCGTCCCGGATCCAGGAGCGAGTGATGTAGCGAGCGTTGGCTGTCCAGTCTCCTGTGGCCCAGGACTGCTCCAGCCAGGGCTCCAGCCGCTCCTCCAGCTGTGGGTGAACCCACAGGGATGCTCAGTGGTACCAGGGGATGCCCAACCCCCTCCCTGCTCCCCCAGGAATGAAGCTCACCTTGGGAAGGTCCAGGAAGAGGTGCTGGGTTGGTTTCACCACAGGGACGCCCCTGCAGAGCTTGCACTGTGGATTCTGTCAGGAGGAAAAACATGGGTTGGAGGAAGCCTAGGACAAGATCAGGGGTACCAGGCAGAGCACGGGGCCAGGCTGTGGGGTGAGGTGATCCCCAGACAGATCCTGTCCCACCTTCAGCTCCACAGCATTGATGAGTTTGCCACATTTATCACATTGGTCCCCCCGGGCCTCCTCGTAGCTGCAGAAGGGGCAGGTGCCCTCCACAAAGCGGTCAGCCAGGAACCGCTGGCAGTTCTCACATCGCAGCTGCTCCACAGTGTCTTGCAGCAGGAAACCACGGGCCAGCAGGCGCTGGAAGATGTCCTGAGCAATCCTGGGATAGCAGAGGAAGACAAGAGGGGCAGCCCCCATCATCCAGGGAACCCTGGAGAGCCGTAGAGCACCTTTGTCCAGGCATGCTGGGGCTCCCTGCAATGTTTCCCAGCACCAGTTCCTCTGTGTGAGCCCTGTGGGCACGCACACCGCTGCTCACGTGGTCTGGTGTGGAGTGGTGGTGCGCCCGAAGTAGTCGAAGGAGATGTCAAACCAGCGGTAGATGTCAGCGTGGATGGCGTTGTACTTGTCGCAGATCTCCTGGGGCGTCAGCCCCTCTTCCACCGCCTTGGTCTCGGTGGCTGTGCCGTACTCGTCCGTGCCACACACAAACAGCGTGTTCCAGTTCCGCAAGCGGCAGTACCTGCAGGCAGGGGCCTGTGACACCCGTGCAAGTGTTGGGGGCAGCACGGCCTCCCCGTGATGATCTCCCAGCCCCAGGGAACATTCCCGCAGCCAAGACTCACCTAGCAAAGGTGTCAGCACTGAGGACACAGCCGATGATGTTGCCAAGGTGAGGCACGTTGTTCACATAGGGCAGAGCACTGGTGATCAAGACGTTCCTCATGCCCTCCACGGGCAGCCTGGCATGGACAGGGGCAGTCAGAGCAGGCACAAACAGCAATAGGGCCACCTCCCCCCAGAACAACGTGGCACCAGCTTGGGAGCCCCTACCAGGCCCCTCGGAGTTTTGGGACAGCCAGCCCTAGTGTCATCTTGGGACTCACACAGGTTTCTGAGGCTTCCAGGGCTTGGGCAGCACCGCAGCACCACGGGCCCAGGCCTCTGCAGCAGCTGAGATCTCATCCTCTGTCAGGGCACGCTCAAAACCTTCTTCATCCTGCAGGGAAGGCTGGTCCCAGTGAGGGTCTGCGTGCCCATCACCACCAGCCCCAAGGGGGCCCAGCCCAGGGCCAGGGCTGAGCAGGGGGCCAGGGATGCACCTCGGGCTCATTACTGGGGGCTCTCTCCATGGCCAGGCAGGGCGGAGGCTGCTTCTGCAGGTAGGATTTGAACTCCAGCAGCGCCGTGGGCACCAGAACAGAGTCAGCAGCTTTTCTGCAGGCCTCTGAGAGTGTCATGCTCTGGAACCAGGTCCTCAGCGCCTGCAGCTCAACTTGGGGGGTGAAAGAGAAAGAGAGAGCAGCAGGATTCTTACAGCCATAGGGACGCACAGAATGCCCTCCCTTGGCACCCCTGTTTTGCTCTTACTTGGCAGGCTGGTCTCATCCTGGAGGACAGGGAACAAGGTACCCCACACAACCACATCAGCCACTGACTTGGTGTCCTGGGCCAGAGGAGCAGGGTCAGGCCTTGAGGCAGCAGCCCCAGCCCCAAGGCTCTGCCCCCGGGCAGGCAGCAGTGAGCTCAGCTCTCCAGGGAGAAGGGCCTCACCCTGAGCCGTCTCCCCCCCCGCACCCCACAGTCCCACTTACCCCAGCAAGGTAGGCAGTGCCTCTCCTGGACAAATTCTGCTCTACGTGGGCCAGCAACTTCCCCAGGGGGTCCACGGCCTCCAGCCCCTTCTTGCCGTGCACCAGCTGAGCATACAGGGCCGCTGATGCGGCTGGCTGGGAGCAGAGACAGGAGTCAGGGTGGGATGCAGGGGGGGAAGGGGGGAGCTGCCATCCCCCTGGGGCACCCACCTGCAGCTCAGTGGCCTCCCACTCCAGCCACTGGTTGGTGAGGTCAGTGGGCTCCTCACCGCGGGCCAGGAAGAAGAACCTGGGGGGGGTGAGGAAGGAGGGTGGGCAGCCGGGGCAGGCTGGAGCTAGAGGCGGGGGGGGCCGCCCCCTGCACCGGGCACTCACTGGCAGATGGCGTTGGGGGAGAAGAGGACGGTGCCGCTCTCCAGCTCCAGGGCGGGCGCCCACAGGGGGCTCAGCGGGGCGAGGGGCCGCTCTGCCGGGGGGAACAGGTCCCTCAGTCAGGCCCCGCGGCGCGGCCTCCCGGCCCCGGTGCCGGGGGCTCC